TAAAAAAAACCCCAAAACCCAAAATCAAAACCAAACCAAACCAAACATTTCTAGGTAGGAGGATAAGCCTTATTATTTTTTCCCCTAGAATCCTTATCCCACTCAGAATACCCCAATCATACTTCTACTTCCTAGCTAAGGAAAGTCAAATGTGGTTTCCAAATTTTGGAGCCTTATTCCACCTGAAAAGTTATACCCATATGAATTTTGAGCAAGAATTATATATTTCATTAATGCCATACTTTAATCAATTATAGACAGAAAGCAAATCATTTGGAGACTTCAGGTCATGTTTATTGAGGGATTAATGTATTACATGTTCATGATATCGTTTGTTAACTAGACAATAGTGGTCATTATCTAGAGAAATTCTTCATTAGTGAGATTTCAGTGATCTAAGAGTACCTAAATGAGAATCAATATTTCTAATCTCTTTCAAAGCATTCTAGCAAAGATCTTCACATTAGAATTCAATACAGATACACATCTGAAATATCTATATTTCAAAAATTTGATACTTAACTAGGATCAGAGACCATCTTTAACATGAAGTTAGGGGAACATTTATTAAGTAGTGAAGATTTTTTTCTACTAGCCAGACTGCCAACTGCCTTATTACTATTATCACCTTTAATTATATAAATAGTTTGTTCTAACATCCAGGGTCTTGATAATGTAGCCAATTGGAATGTCAGCCGCATAGTTACATAGCTGTCCCAGTTCAATCTCTACCAGACAGGGCTCTCTCCTTACTATCGAAGGATATACTAATGATATCTCTCCTTACTATCAAAGTGGTTATTTTCACAAGAGTATAATGTCTAGATTAGGCCGGCATTTGGTTTGAGCAAAATCTTTTATTACTATTTAAGAGATGGCACCATGGGAATGAGTTTAAACTTGAGAAATAGGTTTAAAATGAACATTCATTGATTTATTTCTCAAGTTTAAGAGAAATATAAACTCGATACTATCATATTTGAAATAAGCATTGCCACAAATATGGAAGGAATTTGCTAGCAATGTTTCTTAGAGAAACTGACATGAATACATACAGTTATACATATGTGCACAGATATGAATATCATATACTAAATTTATTAAGCTTTTTACTCTCATGGTCTTCATTCCTTTTGACCCAGGCTATCTCTCATGCACTTCCTGTTTTCCTTCTCCCCATTCTCCACATTAAGTATTTATTTTTCATTCTATCTTATTCACCAACCAAGAAACTCTTCTATGTTTGTATAATATGTAACTATACAATGTATCTATATGTATTTGAATCTAATCTGGGTTTTGCAAACTACAACTTGGGTGATGGCCACCCTTTTTTTATAAATAAAGATTTATTAGAATATATAATACTCATTTTTATATACTATTTATGACTGATTTTGTCCTACAGCAGCAGAGTTGAGTAGCTGGGAAGCAAACTATGACCCTCAAGCCTAATATGTTACCATCTGGGGGATTAAGAAGTTTGCTGACCCCTGACATACACATCTCATATTAGTCATCTTTCGTTGTGTAACTAATCATGCTGAAACTTCATAGATTAAAACAGCAGTCCTTTATTTGCTTCAGATGCTGAATGTTGGCAATGTAAGCTGAGTGCATCTGGAAAGTTCTGCCACAGGTCTCCTCTAGGCTCACTCACTCAGTTGGTTGCTCAGCAGGGAGTCAGTAGTCCAAGAGGGACTCACTCCTGTGTCCAGTGGTTGGTGGTGACTATTGGCTGGGACTTCTCTCACTTGGTCTCTTACCCTTTAAAAGGCTAGCATTATTTTTTTTCCTCAAGATTCTATTAGGGCAAGATTTTAAGAAAAGAAGATAAGAACCTGGAAGATAGTATAAAGTCCTACGTTTGGAATATCACATCCATCAAATTATAATGGTCAAATAAAGCCATGAGATAAACCAAATTTGAAGGGGTTTTAAACATTGACTATTTCATACTGGAAGCATTGGAGAAATCATATTTTAAAAGTTTATCACATAGAAATTGAAGAATTTATTATTTCTCTCTCTCTTGTTTTTTTTTGTTTTTGGTTTTTTTTTTTTTTTTTGCAATGTACTACTCTCATATGGATTACACTGATACCATATGCCACATTATTTGGCAAATTCAGGAAATGAAATGTTCCTTATGGAACAGGAAAGGACTTCAAAAACAAATCTATGAAAACTTGGAAATATTCATGATAGAACATTTTCACTTCTCTGGCATTTTATTCTGTCTTCCTGTATAGAATATGTTGATTATAACTTAACCAATATTCATAAAAAAATTTTTAAAAAGTGCATAGTTGTCATTCTCTAGTGTCATTTACATATAGGCTTCTAATATAGCAGTGACCCCAGGGCTTACTGATGGGTATAACTGTATGGACACTTGCCCCTAAACCAACTGATTAAATTGCACTTTTTAAGGGCATCTGGGTGGCTCAGTCAGTTAAGCAACCAACTTCGGCTCAGGTCATGATCTCACGGTTCGTAGGTTAGAGCCCCTCATTGGGCTCTGTGCTAACAGCCAGCTTAGAGCCTGGAGCCTGCTTCTGATTCTGTGTCTCACTCTCTTGCTGACCCTCCTCTGCTCACACTGTCTCCCTGTCTCTCTCTCTATCTCAGAAATAAATAAAACATTAAAAAAATTTAAATTGCTCTTTTTAAATTCTATGGTTGTTTAGCAATATCCTCAGATCTTACTGTCTTGTTTTTTTTTTTTAATTTTTTTAATGTTTTATTTCTAGGAGAGAGAGAGACAGCGTGAGCAGGGGAGGGTCAGAGAGAGAGGGAGACAGACTGAAACAGGCTCCAGGCTCTGAGCTGGCAGTCAGCACAGAGCCCGACGCGGGGCTCGAACCCACGAACCGTGAGATCATGACCTAAGCGAAAGCCGGATGCTTAACCCACTAAGCCACCCAGGCGCCCCTCTTACTGTCTTGTTTTAATTTTATGTTTCCAGACATTGGATGAAAAATTACATTAAAAATAATGTTAGGATTGTATCTAATGCAAAACTATACAGTTTTAAAAATTTTAATATTTATTTTTGAGAAAGGGAGAGAGAGAGACAGAGCATGAATGGGGGGTTCAGAGGGAGGGGGATACACAGAATCAGAAGCAGTCTCCAGGTTCTGACCAGTTAGCCCAGAGCCTGATGTGGGGCTTGAACCGATGAGCTGTGGGATCACGGCCTGAGCTTAAGTTGGATGCTCAACCTACTGAGCCACCCAGGTGCCACCAAAATAGGTGGCTTTAAAACAATTTTTTAAATGTTTTTATTTATTTCTGAGACAGAGAGAGAGACAGTGTGAGCACAGGATGGTCAGAGAGAGAGGGAGATACAGAATCTGAAGCAGGCTCCAGGCTCTGAGCTAGCTATCAGCACAGACCCGATGCGGGGCTCAAACCCACAAACTGTGAGATCATGACCTGAGCCAAAGTCGGACGCTTAACCGACTGAGCCACCCAGGCACCCCAAAATAGACATCTTTTTAATGGAAGCCTTCCCTAAACAGTCTGCAGTTTTAATGCAACTTAATTTGATTAAGTCACCAAGAATTCTCAGACAGGACTTTTCTCAGGTTCAGTAGCCAAGTGACCAAGCTAACAAGTAGCTTGGACGGCCTTGGGAAAAAAACAAAATTTCATTAAGTGCTATCTATGGTCTGTATGTCTGTGTCCTTCCCCACCACACACAAAAAATTCATATGTTGACATCCTAATACTCAATGTGATGATATCAGGAGGCAGGACCTTTGGGAAGTGATTAGGTCATTGGGATAGACCCTTTAGGAATGGAGTTAGTGCTCTTATAAAAGAGACCCCTTCCACTGTGTGAGGACACAGCAGTAAGTCGACAGTCTCCCAGGAGAGGGGCTTCAGCAGAACCTGACTGTGTTGGCACCCAGATCTTGGAATTCCAGCTTCCAAAACAGTGAGAAATAAACTTCTTTTCTGAGCCACCCAGTCTATGGTATTTTATAACAGTCCATACAGACAAAGAAAATAAGTATTAGTGATGCATTGGAAATTGTACTAGCTCTCTCTCTCTCTTTAAACGCACATACATTGTATTTATGTAATAAAATCTTGTTTATCAAATAACCCCTAATATTTACATACTAGTATTGGTGAAGTCTTTTAGCAAAAGGTATGCAAAACCAGGATTTCATTTTGATCTTCATGTGTTTATGTGATAGTAATGATACTCACAATTGTGTTTTTAACTAGTTGTCAATGTATTAACATTTGTAGATTTCACGTAAGAAATCTTGATCTCTGACTTGTCTACAGTTCAAAGATAATGGCAATGATGGTTCTGTTTTCCCACCTGATATTCATCCAGAAAAGCTGGAAAGTTGCTGACACACTTCACCAAGCAACATTCTCCGGTTCACTGCTCTTTTTCTTACAACCCGCGTCCACTCGTTCTTGGTGCCCATCCTATCCATGTGGCATTTGAGTCTGAGAGCCCAGTTTTATATTAACCTTTCCTTGGCTCTGCATTTTTCCTCACAAAAACCGGGTTTATTTACTCATATCAATGCCCTAGGAATTCATGTCCTGTGGGGCTCCTCTGACTCTTTTTGTACATAGTTAATACCAATTCTTAAAACACTAGCCCTTCTGCTGGTGTTGATTTCCTGTTTCTTTGATGTACTGTAGTCTAATGTTTGTTTCTTTGCACCTGTACGTTGCATTGCATCCTGCTGCTGAAAAAGTGAGATTTTACTCAGTCTATTTAGGCAGGCGATTTGTGTGTGTGTGTGTGTGTGTGTGTGTGTGTGTGTGTGTGTTACTTTGGCCAATATTTTGATTTCTGCTGGGTTTAGTTTCCCATGTGTACTGAGTATAGTTACTTATGACACTAGATTTTTTTCTAGCAGTAATCTCAATCTTTGACAACTGGTATATTAGGAAAATCTAAAGGTGTCAAATTTTCCTCTCCTCAAGGAGTACCCATACCTTCATGGAAAGGACAATATACTACCTACTCACAAAAGTTTTTACATTTTAATGATTGCCTGCTCACAAATCATACTCACTAATGGGAATTCACCCTAAGAAATTCCTATAGATGGCCTGTTCAGACGTTTAAACCCCAGTGAATCTTCTCTGCTCATTTTCTTTCTCCATCTAGCAGGCATCCCACATTTCTAAATTCTCATCATACTCCTAGGAATGAATGGAAATATAATATAGTATTAAAAATTATAATTAGGGTCACCTGGGTGGCTCAGTAAGTTGAGCATCTGACTCTTGATTTCTGCTCAGGTCCTGATCACACAGTTGTAGGATGGAGTCCCACAGAAGGCTCCACACTGAGCAAACGGCCTGCTTAAAATTCTCTCTCCCTCTGCTCCTTCCCTGCATTCATGCTCTCTCTCTAAGATAATAATAATAATAATAATAACTTATAATGAATGTAATGTCTCCTGAGTATGACTAAAATTCCATCCCTTGCCCTCCCCACTACTATCATATTATTATGCAAAAATGGTTTTTTAGGGTTGCATGCAATTCTTTAGAAATCCTTACCTCTTGTGGGTCAGGAGTTGCTTTGTACTTCAAGGCGGTATTGTGGTTAGAACAGTGCAGAAAAAAAGCAAATATGATTGAGTTTTTAAATCACAATTACTCTGACAGATATACTTAATATTTGGGTTAGTAAACCTTAGGAAAACAAATGTGCTAGAAGGACATGACCCAGAAATGATGTACATATCATATCAGAGGGTCCCAAATTTTCTTGGTTCACAGCATGCTTAGTGACTTAGTAATAATTTTAAGAAGTAATGATTGTTGGGGCGCCTGGGTGGCTCAGTTGGTTAAACGTCTGACTACGGCTCAGGACATGATCTCACCATTTGTGAGTTTGAACCCTGCATTGGGCTCTGTGCTGACAGCAAAGAGCCTGGAGCCTGCTATGGATTCTGTGTCTCCCTCTTTCTGCTCCTCCTCCCCCACTTTTCATGCTCTTTCTTTCTCTTAAAAATAAATACACAGAAAAAATTTTAAAAAAGAAGTAACAATTGTTTATGTCCTAACAACCTGTTGAGCACTGTGCCACTTCTCAAGAGTTGGAATCAGATGACACACTGCCCTTCACTTCCTGCTTCATGCTGATTTTCACATGGTACCCGCTGTTTGTCAGAGCAACTGCCCAAAAGCCAGTTCCTACAAGGACATCGCTGGAAGCCACACCGGCCTCACTGGATGACAGTCACAGTGAGGAAATGGCAGTGTTTGCACAGCTCCTGCCATGAGAAACGAAAACTGGTATCTCCTTCTGGTACTACTGGCTCATGTTGGAAATGAGCCTGCTGGTCTTGACCAGGCCTCACAATATTCCAGATCAGACCAATATTCCCCACACAGATTCCTCATAAGGAAAAGCATATTCCTGCCTTTTCAAAAGAGATTTTAGATGAAAGCTCTGTGGATGATTGTCAAAAGGCTCTTCCTATGGGCCTTGTAGACCCAAGACTTAGATAATATAGGGGGTTAAGAATACAAAGACTTGCAATTGAGCCTGGCCCTGAGACAAAGAGCCTAATTTAGAGTTAAGGAACAGATAAGGGCAGAACTTAAGTTAATACTTATGCCTTTTCTAACTGGTGATGTATGGCAGTCCCTTCCCTAAGGCCTACTTTCCACAAACATATAGGAGGCTGGAAAGAGGATAACAACTTGTTTCTGCTTGGAGCACCAGCCCCCCAAGACATCTTGTGATCAGTATTCGGAGTGACTTATTCTGGCCTTGAATATGCTGATTGTACCATGTGAAGGAATCTATTGTAGGAACTTCTTCTCTTGTGACTATGGGAGCAAACACTGTTTTTCCTGAAAGACACGTTTTTCTTAATACTTCTCCTTAAGCAAACAAGCTATTGACCCCTGCTCACAAAGAACTAACTTCACCCTTTTTATGCTAAAAACGTTGTCTTGTATGCTAAAGATACCTTCCTTCCCCCATAGGATAAGCATCTAAATCACCTTCCTCAATCACTATTGATAAAGGTTATGCATGAGTCTTCTACAAATCTATGTTCTGAGAAATCTTACATATCAAAGAAATTTGTCATCAGAAATCATTGTCTAAGGCAAATGCCACTTCGGTGCCGTCCCCCAAACACTTAATTATAAAATAAAGTTGAGCCCCAGTCAGAGCGGAGATGCCTGCCTGGTGAACAGAAAGATTCTCATGGCTCTCTCATCCCTCCCTCGTTGACACCACCCATCCTTCAGGGACCCCTGGACCTGCTGGAGCCAGCCTCTGGCAGGACATGGTTTAAAGGAATGAGCTGGAACTAAACTACAGGTACCTCCCACTTTTTGCAACTTCATGTTATGCCACTTTGCTTTTACAAAAGACCTCAACTACTACCTGTCTTCTGTAATCAAAAGAAATCTAAAGAGGATTTTCACTTATACAAAAAAAATAAAATAAAATAAAGGCGGGGGAAAGCAAGGATAGTGTCTGGTGTTTGTTTTGCAAAGAGCTGCTGTAGAAGCAGCAGGGACCCAAGCCGCTTGTGAGCTTCCGCCAAGCTCTTCCCCTGGATCGACACTGAACATGTCAGCACTAAGATGCCGGAGCTTAGAATGATGTCTCTCAACATTTTTGCTGAGAGATTTTATTTATTTGTTTTGTATACATGTAAACAAGATATTGGCATATCCTAATGATGTTTGATATCAGAAAAGCCTAACAGAGGTTACTTTTTGGTTCTGGGAGCACTTAAACATTTTGTCCACATAAGTCAATGGTAACTACGGCTTTGCTTGATGCCATTGTGGCTGATGAGCAATTTCATACGAAAGGCCAACTTTCGGGAAGTGAGGGAAACCTGTATCTCCATATAAAAGTTTGCACAGTGTCTGACAAATGTCTCTGTAAGTTCACTATGATACCCCTAGGGCACTTTGGCATATAGTTTGGGAACTCTGGGTCTAGGTGTGGAATAAGTACATATGTTTACATCTGCGTACCTTGGGCACTTTCGTGAGTACTTTTGCACTTTAGATATTTAACTTATAGAAAGCTTGTGGCTTCCTGGCATTTCAAAGATAAATAGCTCATTAGCAATCATTTGGTAAAGTCTCTTCACCTGACCTGTGAAAAAGCTAAGGCTCAGAAAGTTTGAGGGCCTTGCCCACCTTTATAGTTTTTTAAATTGTATTATTATGCCACTTGAAGGTACTATATCATAAGATACCTTACAGTTTGGAAAATGGCATGTGACGGCTTTTATAATACAGCATTAATGGACCACCGTTTAATCTTGGTTAAAACACAGAAATGAGTTGATGACAGTTCATGTCCATTGCTCACGTGTTTTATTGCACATGTTGTTTGGTTAGAAATGCAGAATTCCTTTCAGCAAAGAGAAGCAGTTTCCTGAACAGACCTCACTGTGTTTAACCTTTTCCAGTGCTAGATACTCTTGTGTCAAAAGTCAGACCTCAAGGACAATGACCTGTCATGCCTGTAGAGCAACTAGTCACTACGGGCGAGAGTTAGTTCAACTAACTCCCCCCTCACATTGTTTCCAAAGTCCATTTGCTTATGAACTTCCTCCTACTGCTAGGAAGCATATGTTCCTTTTATCTAAATCCATCCTTTTTCTAAGGTGCACTTTAATTCCACCGATTTTTCTTTCCTCTGAAGACGTCATTCTTGGTAGAATCTCCACACTTATTTAAGCCCTATTATCCACATCACCCACATAGCTCCCAGAATTTCCTAACTTATGTGGGACAGAAAGGCTTAATTAAACAATTCGTTTCAATTGTTTACTTTAAATTCATAGGAAGTTGATTTCAATCCATCACCTGATTATCATTTTGTCCATAAATTTGCATCATGAAGGACCGAATCTACAGAACTATTTGGGTCAACTACGTGAACGAAATCTTCAAATTTATTGCACAAGGATCTACTTCAGAGGTCAGGAAACTACAGTCTAAGAACCAAATGTGCCTGCTGCCTGTGTTTGTTTGGCTTGTTAGCTAAGAAGGGTCTTTATGATTTTTAACTGGTTACATTTTAAATAAGGTATATAGATACCACATGGTAGCCTCAATTTTGCTTTTTGGTACTCTAAGCTTAAAATACTTGCTATTTGGTCCTTTACAGAAAATATTTGCAAAACTTTGGTATATTTATTTCTGTGCCCATTTAATGCTGTTTGTCACCATTAGCTAAGTATAACTAGTTAAGCTAAATTAATTGCTTAGGTGATTCAACTACACTTGAATTGTGATTGTCAAATTTTGTTAACTTCAGTAAATACTCATAGAGCTCCTATTTCATAACAGGCATTGTGCTAGGTCCAGGGGATGTAAAATTTAATAAGGCAGGAAGCTCAAAATTCAATCAAACCTCTCCATTTTACTCAAAGAATATCCCCTTTACATTTCATTCTATGTATTGCAATTGAAGTAGTTTACCACCTGTTGTAAGTTACAGCCTTGAGGATTGCCTCTTGACTCTTATGATCAATGAGAAAATTTGCCAAAGATAGGAAAATAATTTTTCTCTCTCCCCAGACATATACCCAGTCCAGATATTTGACTCCTTTTATCATTTTCATTCAGTTCACACTAGAAACTGAATAACATCCACAAAGCTTTTGTTGCAGTAAAAACATAACCATAAAGGTCATCAGCTGTCATATTTTTATCTCTGAATAGAATAAACCTATTTGAATGGCATGTACTTGATTTTAATTGGCACATAACTATGTAAAATAAGTGATTAAACCTACTATATGAACGTTTTTTCCCTTTTCATTTAATAAAACCATGAGCTCTATCATTCACAAATTACTTCCTAATATTCCAAAGTTATCTGACACCCCTAAAAAAAACCCCAAAACAGTATGTAAGTCTCACAGTCTGCCACTCAGTTTTAAAAGAAAGCACACAGTAACATATGTGACATTTTTAATCCCCAAATTACCTATTCAGTTTCATAAAATATCTTTCAAAATGTATATTTCATGAACACAAAGCAGAATTTCTCCATTGTTGGAAAATTAAAAAGAAAAAGATGATCTATTTAAAGTGGTTCACAAATGTGTCCACACAGATACACTCTCATAAATGCCAAGAAATTCACTTAGTAGAACAATGAACATATTAGGTGACATATTATGCATTTCCCTGAAGTTTATGCTTCTTTAGAATTCTACTTTTTAAATATAATTAATGTCCCAGCATTCATGGGTCAAAAGAATCCTTGTTTCAGTCTTTTACCCAGAAAGGCTGCTCTGCTTACAGTCCAGGGGCTGCCTTCACTGATTCACTCAACAAATATTTATTAGGTATATACTGTTTCCTAGACAGTATGTGACATGAAAGTATTGTTATTTCTCCAAATTTGGTTTCTCTCTAAAGCAAACTAAATAACTTTTGTATAACAATGCATTTTAAAGTCTGGATTAAACATAGAAAGTTTCATTTACAATGTTAACTGTCCTTTAGAATTGGCAAATAATAGTGTAGTCCTTCACTATGGTATATTCTTTTTTCTAAATGTTAATTATTATTAATTTCTTTTAGAGAGAGAGAGTACCCTCATGTAAGCAAAGGAGGAGCAGAGAGAGAGAGAGAGAGAATCCCAAACAGTCTCTGCACTCACATTGCACATGGACACGTCTCTCCATCTCACAAACCATGAAATCACGACTTGAACAGAAATCATGAGTCAGATGCCTGCCTGACTAAGCTACAAAGGCACCCCTGATAAGTGAGTTTTGAATTGCCTTGATCTGAATGTAGGAAAACCATGACTCTGCAAGTTAAACCTGGTGCACAAGTTTTGTTTTCCATTTGAAGGGCTCTTCTGGAAGAATGGGAGTGTGATGGAAAGGAATTTTTCAGGAGCTTTATTAAAAAGCCACTCAGTCTGGCTGTTCTGTCTGTATCCCGTGAAAGTCAAAGGCTGCCTTCCTCCAATTCTTTGTTTGCTTTTGGGTCTGCTTTTCTTGGGGTGGGTGAGTTTCTTTTTGTTTTTTGTTGTGTATCTCAAGAATTTTTTCTTTTCTGTTGGACAGGTCTCTAATAACTCTTGCTTCTTTTTCATGTTATTTTTAAAATTATTATTTTTATTATTATTATATTCTAGAGAGAGTACAGTGTGGGAGGGGCAGAGAGAGGGAAAGGGAAAATGCTAAGCAGGCTCTGTGCTGTTAGTGCAGAGCCCGATGCTAGTCTCCATCTTATAACCAAGAGATCCTGATGTGAGCCTATATGAAGAGTCAGACACTTAACTGACTGAGTCACCCAGGTGCTCCTACTATATTCTTTATATTAGTCAAATTGACATATTTTTGATATTTACATTTGATATTTACATTGTTGATATTTACAATAGTGATTGGGGATCTGTGATGCATACCATATGTATATGTGACTCAACCCACATTAGCTGATTCAAATGAACACGATTTTATATAACTCTATTTCTCTGTGTAGTCTATCAGTAACAGATTCCATAGGTTTTCTATCTCTTCTCCAAGGTGGGTTTTTATTTATCTTGGTTTGTTTTCATTGAATTCCAGCTAGGCTTTTACCTTACCTCCACAATTTTTCCTGATTTTCATCTTCTAGCCTTTTAGTTTAATGGGTGGTGAGAACCCCCTGAGACAATGCCAGGCCAGGTAACTTCTGCTAAAGGAAAGACAGTTTCAACAACTAAAACTGTAGTTCAGGTTCACAGTCTCAGCTTTGATTTTTTTTTTTTTACTCTCCAATATATACCTGCCTAAAAGTCCATTAAGTAATTAGTTAATTAACTTGTTTTTTAGTAATGATGATAAAGTACAGTTACGTAGCATTTTATAAGTTATAAAAGACTTTTACATCCATTATTCTATTTGATTTTCTCTTAAAGTGAAAAGTAATCCCGTATTGTTATTATTTTTACCATTTTTCCAAAGGACAATATGAGGTCCAATGGCTCCCATTGCATTTTCTAATGCAATATATGAATATATGAATATGAATATATAATGCAATATATTGCATATATGACAAAGCTAGTGTATGCTAGAATAAAACTTAATCTTTCTTTTTTATTTTAGAGAGTAGAGAGAGAGAGAGACAACATGAGTGGGAGAGGGGATAAAGAGAGAGAGAGAGAGAGAATGAGAGAATCTTAAGTAGATTACAGGCTCAGTGCAGAGCCTGAGGCAGGGCTCAATCCCAGGACCCTAGGATCATGACCTGAGCCAAATTTGTATCTCTCAAATCTTCTTATTTCAAGTGCTATGTTATTTTTCTCCATTTTATCATGCCATATATCTTCACATTATTTATTGAAATCAAGTACTGAAAACAAAAATGAGTAACAATTGTGTACCAGATAGGGTAAGACAAGTAAAGTATAACTCTTGAGACCTAAAGACAGACCTAAAATGATGTGTTTTTCTAACATGAACTGATACATTAAAAATAAGTGTTAGAAATAGACATACCTTTGTAGAATAGAAAAAAGAAATACTACATCCTGCTTAGTAATCAGGGGAAGAGCAAGATCCAAGATGAGATATAAACTAGCTCTTTAAAACTGGATGGGATGTTTTATGTTAAAAAGAGTGGCAGAACCATTGTGGAAACGAGGAATAAAATGAACAAATTAGTGAGGTGATAATGTATGAATCACATGATAAGGAGGCACAAATTGTTTGCAAAGTGAGTTATTTAGTATTAGTTTGGATGGTATTCAAGAATATAGTCTGCAGTAAGACAGAGGGAGCCCACCATCTATTAGTATGAGGAAGTAGTACAAATTATGGAAGCTTTCCTGGTTTAGTTTCTTTATTTGAAAACTTATATGGGGCACCTGGGTGGCTTAGTCAGTTAAGCATTGAACGCTTGATCTCAGGGCCGTGAGTTCAAGCCTCGCATTGGGCTCCACGCTGGCTTGGAGCCTACTTTAAAAAAAAAAAAAAAAGTGTCTGTGTAAAAAAAAGTCCCAGGCTGTGAAGTGATTAAAATGCACAGAAGCCCTCAGCAGACTGTCTGGCATGATGCATGCACTACTGTTAGTAGCAGTATCTCTGGGTACCTGGATTGAGGATCACTATTTAACAGTGTTGCCGGGAAGGTCTCAGAGCACCATAGTGACTGTTTCCAGTTTATACTGATAACACGGTGCTTTTCTCAGTGCCGGATGACAAACAAGCTATGACACCAGACGACAAAAGGCAGAGTCAGGTGGGCTGCATGTGCAGTAGTCCCCTTATCCACGGAGAGTATATTCTTGTCAGGAGCCATTTCTGAACTCGCTAGTCGAGAAAACCCCTTATGAGGTTAAGGCAAGTTTGTGCCGCCTCTTGCCGCCAGATGACGACCAATATCCACCCCCACTCAATTATTTCTGCTTTAGCACCGATCCCCAAGGTACCTTGTTGATTCGTATCAGGAGTGACTTGTCCCCTTATTCTGGCCCTTGTATGATGATTGCACCGTGTGAAGGAAATTATTATAGGAACTTCATCTTTTGTAATTATGGGAACAGACATAATACCTCTGGCAGGTCCTGTTTTCCTTGATACTTACCTCGAGCTATGAACAGGCTAATGACCCTCACTCATAAAAGATTGACCTTGATGTGCACAATTCTGTTTCTACATTACATTAGTCCAAGAGGTTCATACAGCTCAACATGTAAGTCAACTAACCAAAAATGTTTCTCATGCCCTAGCTATTCAAGAAATCATAGACAAAAAACTAGACACAAAGGTAAAGGCACCCGAAGAGGCTATTCTATGTATTGGAAATGAGCTAAACTCTTTAAGGTACGGTTGGCTTTCTGGTGCCATAGGAATATAACTGGACAATTAAGTCTGGCCCAGAGACAAAGAGTCTAATTTAGAGTTAAGGTACAGATAAGGGCAGAACATAAGTTACTACATATACTTTTGCTAACTGGTGAAGGATAGCAGTCCCTTCTTCAAGGCCTGTATTCCACAAATACCCTCCCTTACACTGGCAGCTGGGATGAGGATAGATAAGAGTAACTAAAACATAAACCCAAATACAAAGGCTGACACATTTAGGGCCCCCATGGTGCTTGCGCATTCAGCATCAAAGAAAAGGCTTGCTCAAACAACTTAATAACAAGCCTGGTAAGATTTACTCAACCTCATTTTAAGTACGTGCTCGCTTGTGGCCTGTTAATTGGAAACAAAGTCATAAAAATTGTCAAAGGCCTACTGCAAAATAAGGTAAGTTTGTTACTATCTTAATTTGGGAGACTGACGTCAAGAACAAATGGGGTGGAATGCTTCTCTAAAACCTGTTTCTGTACACCTTCCGCTGATCAAAGCATCTTATCACAAATAATTAGCCACTGTAAAAATTCTATCTTCTAATGTCATGTTATCATTTGACCTATAAATAAAGACACTGAAACTGACAGGACAGAGATGCTTGCCAGGTGATTAGAAAGAATCCCGGAGCTCTCTCATTCTTCTTGCCAACACTGTTCATCCTTCAGGGATCCCTGGACCCGCTGGAGCTGGACTCTGGCATATTCTAAGACCCCCAGTGGATGTCTGAAACCATACATAGTACTGAACCCTGTATATTTTGTGATTTTTCCTGTATATACACACCTATGATAAAGTTTAATTTCGAAATTAGGCAAAGTAAGAGATGATGAATAACAGTAAAATAGAACAATTATAGCAATATACTGTTATATACATATACTGTACATAATACGTTGTTATGTGAAGGTGGTCTCTCTCTCTCTCAAAATATCTTACTGTCCTACATTTACCCTTCTTGTGGTGACCTGAGATGATAAAATGCGAAAGTAATGAGGTAAATGACACAGGTCCTATGACATCAGAATCCGGCTTACTGTTGACTTTTGACAATTCATCAGAAGGAAGATCATGTGTCGTAAGGCTGTCTATGGGAGGTACAAAGTTGCAGAGAAAGAAATCACAGGTAAGGGGGCACTTCTCTACACTTTGAGAGGAGAGAAACTGAACTGAGCTGCAGAACAAATTAAAACAAAAAGAAGGGGCGCCTGGGTGGCTTACTAGGTTAAGTGTCAACTTCAGCTCAGGTCATGAGCCCTACATCGGACTCTGTGCTGACAGCTCAGAGCCTGGAGCCTGCTTCAGATTCTGTGTCTCCCTCTCTCTCTTTCCCTCCCCTGCTCACAATCTGTCTCTCTCAAAAATAAATAAACTTAAAAAAAAAGGAATTCTGCCTCTCTAGTACATTGTTCATAAAGATAATTTCAAAGCAATTTGACAGGCTTCTGATGAAAAATGGCAGAAGTAAGTCATTTTTATTCTACTCCTTCCCTTCAGTCTCACTGAACAAATATAGACACACGGGGGGAATACAGGGGACACATCTTTTTTCAAAGTGCTAAGAAAAAAAACCCTAACTGAAAAGCTAACATTAAAAGTATCTGCGTCATACACTGTAATTTGGACCAAAATGGGCATGGTGGCTTAAAGTTGATACTTATCCTTCAGACTTTGGGTAACTGCAGACTTCTCTAAAAGAGACTAAGGTGGTCTTGAAAAGGTGATTAAAAATTCTTGGTGGAGAGTGTTGACAAAGTCCAGAGTGTCCATGGCTTGAAGGAGGAAGAGAGAGTGACCTGTGTAGAAGACTCGAAAACACAAGGTACAACAGGAGAGAAACTCCTAAGGTGGATCCCTGCTGTGATGTCACTGTATTGTCTTTCTTCCAGTTTCCTAGCACAGGGAGGTGGCTGGACTTAGAGACTAAGATGGAGGGGAGGCACTGATGATCTGATTACACCATAGGACTTCACGGTGAGCTGCAGTTTTGCCCTAAAAGCCAAACGCTGAACAGAGAGATATGCCTAAATAGGAAGTCATAATAGATTTGTGAGAGGGGGTTTCAAACAACAAACCTGAATGGAAGTTGTGGTTTGTTACAGGCAAGTGCCCCTCTCCCCCACTTCACTCTGCCCTCTATTCATCTTCAAATAGCTACTCCAGGTGGCATTCACTACCAGCCCATCCAATGCTGAAAGAAACCAGCTTGAGACCCAGGGGCTGCAAATTTTAAATATGCATAGAGTTGTGTTCAGAATGTCATTTAATGAATGCTAGTGAAGTTTACCTCTGGGTGAGTAGAATTCTTCTTTGCACTTTTAAAAAAATTATTTTTTTATGTTTTATTTTATGTTAGAGACAGAGAGAGAGAGAAAAACTAAGCATGAGCAGGGGAGGGGCAGAGAGAGAGGGAGACACTGAAGCAGGCTCTCCAAGCTGTCAGTACGGAGCCCAATGTGGGGCTCAAACTCACAAACAGCAAGAGATCATGACCTGAGCCAATATTGGACCCTTCTTTCTACTTTTATGTCTTACTTACATTTAAAAAAACAAGATGTAAACATTTGGCAAATGGATAGGAAATGAAACATAATTCACAATGTTGAAGAAGAGAAACGAAGGAGTATAACTATGGAGCACAAAGTGAGAATCAGGAAAAAATAGAACAATGAAAACAAGAGGAATGACCCACTGATTCATTTCCTGAGCAGTCCCTGTGATGTCCCAGCTCCTGAGCTCGTTGTTGGAATCAGAGATGAAAGGCAAGGGTCACAGGGAACCAAAAGTGCACAGTCTAGTTGAGGAGACAGTCTGCTGTGCCCGAATCGCGAGTCCCCAGAGACCTCCAAGGAGCCAACACCGATGCATCATCACATAAGCACCAGTCATAATTGTACAGCACCCATGGTAACAGTTTTGACCATTCAGTATCTGTGAGGTGTCCATTACTTTTGGCGGGACCCAATCATGACCTTTGAGAATCCTTTGAAAATGACCAATTATGAGGTGAGCTCAAAGGGCCTACGTGGGGTTTAGGCAAGCGGTGAGTGACTGGCTAGTTAGTACAGAGTAAACTACCTGCAGTTCCCAGCCCTGACTCAGACCACAGGAATGTTACACGTTTCTTTTGATTGGCTGATCCGAGGGTGGCTTCAGCTGAAGCTTTCCTTGGAACTGGGGCTACTACATGCAGCCCGAGGTTGCTCTTAATGGAGGACTTAATTTCAGGCTCCTCAAGGTCAGGAAAGAAATGGTGTCAATTGGGTGAGGTTTTGGTTTTGGTTTAAAACCAAACAATGGGTCCTGTTTCTGAACATTTAAGTGTTGCCTACGTTCTCAGACACTCCCCTGGTGAGGGGACATATAAAGTGAAATGGGGGTACTTAGCCAACACTACCCTTCTGTTGGCTCTTGTTTCTGCTCTGTGTTCCTCTGATGCAGGAAGCAATGAGACTGTTCAAGACTAGTGTATACAGAAGTACCAGCATAGGGATGGGTGAAGGAAGTAGAAAGGGACAACTGACCGGTGGCTCTTAGTAACACTACTGTTTATTTTTACTACTATTATTATTTTATGTGGCTGGCATGGGAGGAAAACTCTTTTTCCACAGTGTGATAGAAAAGGAAGTTGATGAAGTTTTTTCGGGGGTAACGATGGGGTTCACAGTGTCTGGAGCTGAGGGCCAAGAAAGAATTCTTGAAGACGACTTTGGTGCAAAAAAGTGATGTTATTGAAGGAAGAGAGGCCAGGCCCTGTGGGCAGAAAGAGCTTCTCTGGGACTCTGAGGGACTGGTTTTATACTGTGGAGTTGGGGGGAGGGGTTGTCATGTCTCATAAGTTTCCAGTGAGATTTTCATATGCTAAAGTCTCACAGGATACCGGAGGCGTAGCTATTGTCAAGTTAAGGTTGTTTTTCCCTCTAGCAAAACATTAACATTAAGACAGTAGGGAGCTCCTGGAGAAATGTTTTACTCTGACAGCCTCAAGTATTAGTCAATGGGCTGCAGGATATAAGGAAATTTAGTTCTATCTGCCATTTCCTTCTGCCTTTGTTTCCCACATCTCTATGGAAGGGAGATGGAGACTTAGTTCCTGCAGGACTATGATCTCTATCTGTGAATCATTTGTTTTTCCCCTTTTCTTTGTTCTTGGGCAGCTAGGAGTGCTGAGGAATAGCGCACATATCCCACCTGGTTGTGGGAGGGTTTATTTGTGGCCTGTCGGCTTCCTTAATCCTCCCTCGTCACTAGTGAGAAAGAGACTTCAGTGATGAGAATCTGAAGTCGAGACTGTGGACAACGACAGGAGATGCTTATCAGGGGCATATAAAACTCCTGCCCAACTAATATTGGAGCTCACCCATTTCCAGTTGCATGTTCAGATGATGGCGGTATATTTTTCTAGCAATGATCAGTACTATAGAAGTCAAAAGATTGGATTGTTTTGCTTATTCTAAAAAATGTTTATTTATTTTGAGAGAGAGAGAATCCCAAGTGGACACCACACTGTCAGCACAGAAACCACGTGAGGCCTGAACTTGCATACTGTGAGATCATGACCTGAGCCAAAATCAAGGGTTGAATACTTAACCAACTGAGCCGCCCAGGTGCCCCCATCGATTGGATCATTTTGGCCATGTGCAAAAATGACAAGAAAACAGCGGCATTTTTAACATAGAAAGAAATAGTTATTTTTTCATGATTGTGATGTTCACCCATAAATTCTAGGCAATGACTTGATTTCAGAAAATCCAAGGAGGCAGAAGGGAGTGAACTGAGAACTTGAGTAAAGAGGGGAAAAAGAGAAAAAATGGAAATCAGAGTCTGGAAGCTTTGAGGTGAGAGGGTGGCATATCAGAATTTATAACGTAAGAGGTAGAGGAGGTTTTCATAATGACAGTTTTCCAGGATGTTACTCAGGGGCTGAGTAGCCGAAACAGGAGAGTCGTAATGAGTGTGGAAGTGTATTGTGGGCAGGAATTCAGATAATGCTAGAACTGAGATTTTTTTTTTCTTAGTTAATTTTGGCTAAAAGTTCACTCCACATTTCCCTCATCATTCAGTAGAAAAGCAATACAAAATGAATATAAGCCCTACTCTATATGTGTTGTTTTTTATTCCTTATGGACGTTAGCCAGGTAGCACCGCTTTTTGTTTTTCTGAAATAATTCTCAAAGTAGTATTTTAATTATTCTGATGAAATTTAGACTGAAAGACCCTCTTCAATAGTTATTGCTCTAGGAAACCGTTTTTCAAAGTGGGCTCCCCAGCTAACAGCATCAGTATCGCCTAAAAACTTGTTGAAAATAAATATTCTCAGCCCATACCCTAGATTTACTGAATAGGAACACAGCATTTTGGGGTTTAACTAGACTTCCAAGTGATTCCGATACTTGCTTGAGTTTTAGGACCACTGCTCGAGGTTACTTACATTAATTGATCAAATAATTTTGTTGACATCCATCATTTTCTACCAGTCTTTGTTACTCATCTCTTCCTTCAGCCATTTTCTTGAAGGAACCTAGAGACATCATAACGCTACTATTTTAACACCCAGTGTATTTAGCTGGGCTCCTCCATTTTGCAGATGCTTCTTTTAACCATGATAGATCAAACCTGTTTACCATGAGACAAATGGAGGCACCAGTAGATGGTGTGTGGCAAAATAAATAAAATACATTAAATTCAAGTTGGAACACACAGAGTACTTAATTGGCTGAGAATGTCAGCCCTGTGACTGGCTAATAGTTGTGAAATTAGAATAGGTCACATAATCTGCAGTGCATGCTGCCATGGGTTAAAAGCACAGTTTGAACGATAGCATCAGGTAAGATACTTTAGCTGTTTATAAAACATATTTTATAAAATATTTTGGGTGTAAACAGCATTATAATGAGCCAAGACAAGAAAGGCTGATTTAAATGGGATATGGATATATTCTTGGAGGACCACTTTTTTTTTTTTTTTTTTTTTTTTTTTTTGATGGAGGTTGGGGGAAACACTCAGGTTTCCTACAGTGTATCTTAATGGCATCAGCCAAATATTCAGGTTGCAGCTACTTTAGATTTTTCAATTTAAAATTCAGCTTTCTGAGAACAATTATTTTATTAGAATATGTCTTTTTAACTATGTATTTTCTAAATATAGTACTACAAACTCATTTATTCAGATTAGAGTAATTTATTATAATTTGGAAATGACTGGGTTGAAATGAACATTTCTATTCTTTTAGAAAAAGGGTTTTCCAAACATATTCATATTTAAGGGGAACTATTTAACCTGCTCCAGCAAATGGCATGCTTTCAGCTATCATAACAGAATGGATGTGAACACACACACACACAGACACACTCAAAATTATATACAGAGGAAATTGGGGTATCCTATCTAGAACATGCCCTTCCTTGATAAGCTAATTAGAAATTGTAGCTATGAATGTATTCACACTAGTCTTTGTTCTCTCAGCCTCTTTAAGTCTCATCTAGGTAGATAAGAATAACACTACCTTTAAAAGCCATTAAAATATTTTAATCACAAAATTTTTTATTTCAATCATTCTCCATTGTTAATCATTATTATAAGTAAAGTTGCATTATTCATATAACAACATTCCTTCCAATAGGATGTTAGTATTTTTTTTCCTTTTTGAATGTAGTGTTTTTCTTCAACTTTCTGTATATGTTTTACTATTGCCAATACTTTCCTAAAATTTCCTCCAGAGAATACATGATATTTACATGCTTACTAACCTATTTTTTTCTGCTTATGCTAGGAAACTAACCCTCACCCTTCTCCCTAAAAGGTATCTGAGGATAAAATCCAACTCATAGGTTTATTGTATCCACTCAACTGGACACTCTGACTTATACTGAATATTCATACATGCAAATGGTATATAGTTATATGTGTATTTACATATACATATATAATTAATATTTACACAAAGACACACATGTGCATAGAGAGAGAATGGAAGAGGAGAGGAGAGAAGGAGGAGGTGAAAGAGAGATGGGGAAGGGATTGGTTGAGTAGATGAATATAGCAAATAATTACAGATATCTGTAGAGAGAGATATACAGAGCACATAAAACAAACCAAGTAAATTTTTTTGTTTCATGGGCAAACTATTGGCTCAAATAAATAAACAAAAAATAAATCATAGGTAAATGCAGACTGTACTTTCAAGATGTTTTTCATTTCAGGTAGCCTTAGCCCCACTGCAAACTCTTTTCCAAGAGATAAAGCAAGAGACAGCATTTTCTCCTTTACCACACTCTTTGCTATGTGCTCTCCCCAGAATAAATGTTGCACCCAACTGAACATCATTGTGGTGCAAAAACAGAACTCTTTTTCAAGGAGCCAACCTGCAACTCTGTAACCAGGAAGAATAAAAATAAACTCTGTTCTTAGAAGTGCTAATCCATTTTTCTGAGGCCGTGTTGTCTAAGGGAGTGCATTTAGGTATGCTTGAAACCGTGAGCCCTCTGGGGGAATATCAGCCCCACACAACTTGAGGCAATTATTATTACAACGGAAGCAGCTCTCTGGGTCCAACATATGGACCACAAACTGGCAGAGAGCCTGAGCTCTCTGAGGAAAAATGCCAGTGTCCCTCTATCGTTTCCTTAGCTGTTGGGAGAGATTTCAGCTCTTCAGCATTTTCCCTTCCTGACCAGCTTTTCCCAAGATAAATCTTAGCTAGCACCATATGTTTCAAGAACAAAAAAACAGCTTCTGAATTATTACTGCACAGTGTACTCTTGCCCAGGAAATTCAAGCTGCTTAGGCACTATAATCATAGCACCAGGCAGAATTTGAGAGAGA